ATAAGTTGAGTTAAATCATCACATTTTTTGTCAAAGTACTTGTGGTCTCGCGTTGTGCACGTCATTTCCGGACAGCCTGTATATTACAATGTGCAGTACTTTAATGTAATCATTATGATTAATGCTTCCATACATTGAAAAGTATCCACAATCTAATTTCATGGTGTGTAAGCCGCGAAATAATTGCACAGTAACTCAGTCAATGTCATAACCTGTTATCCAAGAAATATTTTGTGATCGGCAGCAATTTGGTATCGATTGAAGTATCTACAAGTTTATAATCTTCAAGCGAAATATCTAAATTTGTGCAGATCGCTAAATAATATGGAGCTTCACGTTTAAAAGTAACTTTTCTTCTCTTTTGATTTGATAAAAACTAATTTATCCTCAACGCCATGCGGACTACAAACGTTTTTTAATCCCGGTCTACTCAATGTCTTCTACCCAATTATGGTATCAACACTTAGTTCTGTATTATCACGTAAGTACTACATAAGCCTATTTCTAGCAAAATTTGTATATTTGAGAGCAGTTATCGTTGCGGTTTATGGGATTTTATGGGATAATTGCTTAGATTCGGATCAAATGATTAAATTGAAATGTAACTGGTCCGCTTATGTGAGTGATTTGGTTCAAAACATTGTAGGTTTTGATTTCATCCATTAAATATTTTAGGGCAGACTGCGTTCCAAGAAAAGCAACCATAGGTTGGGTTTCAACTACGATGGTATGTTGAACACGAAAGATATTTAACTCGACCAGTCTAAATAAATTCTTATGATAACATGTATGGGAAGATTGCAACACTAGCAGGGTTCTGTGTTTCATGGAATGAAGAGACATCTCAGACATTTGGCAATATATTTCATAATTTAAGTCGATGGGCATTCAAGATCTTCAGAAGACTATTACTCTAAAGCTAGATGTAAAGGGAAAATTAACAAAAAAGGCAGCATCTGAGGTTCTATTTGTTTGTACATCATCTTTAAGTGTTAATCTCATTACAATTTGAAATATAAAGAGATGTTAGTAAAAGGAGCAAACAAAATAAAGTTATTTTAAAATAACATCTTCATTTTGAGTATACCAAAAAATCTAATGCAAGTATTGTGATTATTACGTTGTGAGGTAAAACGAGAATACTTCCCTTAGATGGGATAAGCCGGGATTTTTCGCGTATGTCGGGCATTTGAGAATATATGGTCGTCTATTACGGCTTATGCAACGAAGGGCTTCTGTTCATAATATGTAGATTTCGTGCTGCTTATGAAGGGCTCTTTTCTCGAAAATTGACCCCAAGGATTTTCGGATTTCTCCTTACTATTTTATTAAAAAAAATGACCTATAATTTTCTCAACCCACAACATTTTCAACCAAAAAAAAAGTAAATTAAGACATTAATTATGAAATAAATACAGTTTCGTCGTGAGAAAAAAAATGGGACGATATGTTGCAGTTAAAATATTAAATATAAAAGAAATCGGTAGGTTGGAAAGTTTGAGAATCAATGGTGTATGTAAATTTTTTTTGATGGGAAGGGACCATTGGGTTTATAGGAAGACTTAAAGCAACAAAGCGTTTCTCTTTTTACTGAAAATCTTGATTTATGGCTATCGATAGGGGTGAAATCTGTATGTAATACGCAATCAAGAACCCGGCGAAGGGTGGAAAGGGTTGAGTTAGCGTTAATGCACAATAAAGGGCTCGAAATGACATGAAATTTAGGGGAATGGTACCTGCATGTTGACCTGGTTCCCTTATAAAAGGCAGAAGACCAAGTCTATTGTTAAAAAGGCCTCTCGAAAGTGTTTGCAGGCATGTTTTATTTTTTTAATACGGTGTCGAACGTACAAGTTTGTAGTTCGTGTTTTTAGATAAGGGTCAAGACGGAAATCGAACACCTGTCTTTAAAAAGATAACAACGGAAACGATGTCCACCTTATTATTTATCTCTTCCGTTAGAAATTCACGATATGAAGTGTTTAAAAAAATAAATATGTACAATAAAATCCGTTGATAAATAAACCGAGCATTATCTCGGTTGTTTTTTTTATATTATTACCCTACACAACCCTTTGATCCTTTTAGACACAACCCCACGTCCTCCTTTTGTGAAGCTAATAATAAAACGCATTTTTCTTTTCCACCAGAGCATGGTTTATATCATATTTTTTTCCACCGCGGGGAGGAGAGAACCTAAGATCTAAAAAATTGCCCCTTTTCTACCTACTAAAGGCCCGAAAGGGTTGAGCTAGATAATTTATGCTCGTAGTCGTTTTATGCAGATGTCGCAGCCCCCTAAAACCCGGCGGACCTTGAAATTTTAATTTTTTTTTTCAGCTCTAACCCAATCAACTAACCCCCCACCCCATTAAATTTTTTTTTAACAAACCACTCCCTTAGAAAAAGGGTTATCTTATTTTTAGTTGTCAGAAAAGATTCGGGCCAACAAGATCTAAGAAATAAAAATTAGGTTGAAATTGAAGTTAATATCCATTATACCAGTTTGTTTAACGTGATAGAAAAAAATTTTTGTACTTTTACTGGTTTATCTATATTTTTGTTGTCTAACTAGTTTCGGCAAAAAGCCATCATCAGAGACAATTTTACAGGAAATTAACATCGAAAACATAAAACGGTGAACAAATTAAAATTATTAATGTCACAAATTTATTTAAAATAAACGTAAAAATGTTTACAAATCTTTAAAGATTTAACTCCGCATGGACATCTTTTGTGGTAGATGTTACAAGATGGTCAAGATGATTATTTTAAGTAAATTTGTGACAATAATAATATTAATTTGTTCACCGCTTTATGTTTTCGATGTTAATTTCTTGTAAAATTCATTGACTTTTGTCTCTGATGATGGCTTTTTGCCGAAACTAGTTAGACAACAAAAATATAAATAAACCAGTAAAAGTACAACAAAATTCGAAAAATTTTTTCAATCAAATAAAAATTAGTTCAAGTTTAAAAAAAGTTTAATGTCGTCGACACCAAGTGAAAGCGAAACACACACATACAAGGAAGAACGTCGGCGAAAACAAGCGAGAACAAGCAAGAGGAGAGACGAAGGTAGCCCCTCGGTCACAAACGACCTTGAAAAGCTATGACGAAATAACCTATGAGAGAAACAAATTATGTATCGTATAACGAAATTACATCTTAAACTCTGCTATCCAAAATTTTTTTGTGATACCATACACCAAATGATTTACGAGTATCATTAAAGTGTTGCACGTTTATCTTACGTTCTAGAATATAAAATATATCATTAAGCCGAGACGTTGTAATCAGTACCGCTTTGACACAAAGTTCGTTAAGATGAAAGAATATTTAACATTGAGCGTGATGAAACTTTCCGTTCTCATATTCATGGTGTTTCGTTGGAATTTAATTTATTTTCTTAGTGTTCAAGGTTGCATTACGTTAACAAAGACATAGCAAGGTCGATTGTGGACCTAAAACACGATTACATCAAAAATTTTGTATATACATCAAGATTGAGGTTTAGGTTGTAGCCCCTCGGTCACAAACGACCTTGAAACGCTATGACGAAATAACCTATGAGAGAAACAAATTATGTATCGTATAACGAAATTACATCTTAAACTCTGCTATCCAAAATTTTTTTGTTATACCATAAACCAAATGATTTACGAGTATCATTAAAGTGTTGTACGTTTATCTTACGTTCTAGAATATAAAATATATCATTAAGCCGAGACGTTGTAATCAGTACCGCTTTGACACAAAGTTCGTTAAGATGAAAGAATATTTAACATTGTGCGTGATGAAAATTTCCGTTCTCATATTCATGGTGTTTCGTTGGAATTTAATTTATTTTCTTAGTGTTCAAGGTTGCAAAATTGTACAAAATTGCAGCCGAGGCGCTAGATACTAAATCGATAGAAAACGAGATACTAAACGTAAAAATTTTTACAAATCTTTGAAGATTTAACTCCGCATGGACATCTTTTGTGGTAGATGTTACAAGATGGTCAAGATGATTATTTTAAGTAAATTTGTGACAATAATAATTTTAATTTGTTCACCGCTTTATGTTTTCGATGTTAATTTCTTGTCAAATTCATTGACTTTTGTCTCTGATGATGGCTTTTTGCCGAAACTAGTTAGACAACAAAAATATAAATAAACCAGTAAAAGTACAACAAAATTCGAAAAATTTGAAAAATTAGTTCAAGTTTTAAAAAAGTTTAATGTCGTCGACACCAAGTGAAAGCGAAACACACACATACAAGGAAGAACGTCGGCGAAAACAAGCGAGAACAAGCAAGAGGAGAGACGAAGGTTCCTTCAATGAAAGTGAACGTCCGGGAGGCGCGTTTAGGTAATGAGTTAGAGAAGGAAATGAGCGAGACGACGGAGCTCGAGGCGTCGCGACGCCTTATTAAAGCTGGGCGTCGCGACGCAGACGCCGGAGACGCCTGATTGGTGATTAGTACGCCGGAGAGAGTGTGTTCCACGGCCAACCCTGACCTACCATCACGAAACTCACTCGTTCTCCACTCTCGCCTTTCAATTAATGGACCTACTTTTACCCCAAAATTGTGTCAGTAAAACCTATTCGATTATATCACCTTTTTTTTAAGTTTCATTAACCCCATAAATATTTATGGATAATTCAATCAAATTCAATATTAACAGAAATAAATAAATTCATGAATACATAAAATATAAAATAATTATTATAAAACGTCAATTATATCAATAATTAATGACCTATAACAATTTCGAATTTATGTTGGAGTATTGTGACAGAACTTTAATAGGTAATAATTTCATTAGTTAGTGTTAAAATTGATTCTATACGGAGCCCAATTTATTATTATTGCGAGATAATAAAGTGTTCAAAAAATATAATCAATTTAAATCAACAGGTTGTTTAATACCACCTCATCTTGCAACAACACATTAAAGCGAATAAAAATGATTTTTTAATAATAATAATAATAATAAAAGAAATCAAAACTTACCACTTCTTTCTTCATTGCAGGAATTCATCGTCGTGGAAACAGGAAAATCAAATCACTCATCGCCGGGAACTTAAATAAAAAGAGGAAGAAATTAAAAAAAAATTGATTCAAAATTCAAAATTATTATTAAACAAAAAAAAAATGTCATTTTTTTTTTAAGTTAATACGAAACAAAAACTTTTCTGGAAGGATCACGGAACATGGATGGCAAGGATAGTAGCAGTAGGCGAATGCCTTCGTATCCCGGCTTCTCCTAAGACAGACGTCGGTCGTCGCGACGCCCCTACAAATCGCAACCTCCACCCAACACTCCATCTTTATCGCACCCCCGATATTAGAGATGGAAAGAAATTGTAACTGGGGGTTGCGAAAACGGAACATCGTCCCCGGTTGAAAATGCACGACGCGCATGGCCAATATGGCGTCGGGACGCTCATTTAGGCCACTGTTTCTGTGTGTCGCCGTACTCGGGGGGTAATTAGGGGGTACTTCTTTTAATTGGTTCAGTAGGCGATGACGGCGCGCCGGAAGAGCGCGTTCAGACGACTCCGCGATCTTTCCTCTTTGTAAATTCGCGAAAAAAATTATTTCCGGGGTGGTTGATAAAGTGTCGGTTGATGGATTCTTTTTTATTTCATTTTTCTTTTTCAAATTGATTCGATAGTGGTAGGTAGACTGGCGGTCATGTTGGGTATGGGGGTGATTTTCGATGTGTAACCCTCCCCCGATGTAATAATAGTACGTTGTACGGACACATCGATTTTATTTCCTATAACCGGGGGAATGGCAGAGGAAAATGGCGACTGACGACGCACTACATATTGTATGAGTTTTGTTGAGAGTGATTTTTAATGTCTTTAAAAAATAAATACTTTTTTCATCCTCGCTTATATTTAGACACATAATATAAGGACAAATAACTAAACTTTGTTATTAGAGTAAGTAATCCTTATATGTTTGAAAATTACTTGTGATTTTCCATACAAATAACCACAACGAAGAACAAGAGTAGAAGGCATCATTATATCTACGACTACATCTCAAATTAACAAGTAGAAAGAACAAGATTAAAGACTTTTTTAATCCCAAAATTAGTATTGATAAACTAATTTTGCCATATTGGCGTTAACAAAGACATAGCAAGGTCGATTGTGGACCTGAAACACGATTACATCAAAAATTTTGTGTATACATCAAGATTGAGGTTTAGGTTGTAGCCCCTCGGTCACAAACGACCTTGAAAAGCTACGACGAAATAAGCTATGAAAGAAACAAATTATGTATCGTTATAAATTCGTTATTTGTAAATATAAAAAGATTACATCTTAAACGGAGACTATGTTATCCAAAATATTTTTTGTTATACCATAAATCAAACGATGTACGAGTATCATTAAAGTGTTGTACGTTTATCTTACGTTCTAGAAGATAAAATATATCATTAAGCCGAAGTCGCTTGGGGCCGAGGCGTTGCAATCGGTACCATTTTGACACAAAGTTCGTTAAGATGAAAAAATATTTAACATTGTGCGTGATGAAAATTTTCGTTCTCATATTCATGGTGTTTCGTTGGAATTTAATTTATTTTCTTAGTGTTCAAGGTTGCATTACGTTAACAAAGACATGGCAAGGTCGATTGTGGACTTGAAACACGATTGCATCAAAAATTTTGTGTATACATCAAGATTGAGGTTTAGGTTGTAGCCCCTCGATCATAAACGACCTTGAAAAACTATGACGAAATAACCTATGAGAGAAACAAATTATGTATCGTATAACGAAATTACATCTTAAACTCTGCTATCCAAAATTTTTTTGTTATATCATAAACCAAATGATTTACGAGTATCATTAAAGTGTTGTACGTTTATCTTACGTTCTAGAATATAAAATATATCATTAAGCCGTTGTAATCAGTACCGCTTTGACACAAAGTTCGTTAAGATGAAAAAATATTTAACATTGTGCGTAATGAAAATTTCCGTTCTCAAATTCATGGTGTTTCATTGGAATTTAATTTATTTTCTTAGTATTCAAGGTAGCAAAATTGCAGCCGAGACGCTAGATACTAAATCGATAGAAAACTCATCAATTTTCAAAGATGTTGGTATTTTGTCCGAAATATTCTGCAGTACAAAGCTGGTTAACATTACAAGATTTTTGACATTATGCTCAACAGTGTTCTATTATAAACGGTGTTTCTTTGTAGTTTCATTCAATTACTTCTTGTGCAAGAATATAAAATTGTCGGTATCACTGTATTAAGTCAAGGTCGCTTACGGCCGAGGCGCTAGATACTAAATCGATACAAAACTCATCGATTTTCAAATATGTTTGTATTTTATCTAACATATTCTAATATAAATGATGTATCATTAGAGTGAAATACATTATTAGCCGAGGTCGCTTGCGGCCGAGGCGTTGTATTCGGTACCGTATTCGGTACCGTATTCGGTTTCGTTAGAGTTTAATTTATTTTCTTAGTGTCCAAGGATGTAAAATTACAGATGTGATTAAATTTAGCCGAGGTCGCTTGCGGCCGAGGTGCTAGATTCTAAATTGATACAAAACTTATCAATTTTCAAATATGTTGATATTTTGTCCGACATATTCTGTGATAGCGTTGCAATTGGTGCCATTTCAGTACAAAACTGGTTAATATTACAAAATTTTTGACATTATCCTTAACAGTGTTCTATTATACACGATATTTCCTTATAATTTAATTCAATTACTTCTTGTGCAATAATATAAAATTGTCGGTATCACTGTATTAAGTCAAGGTCACTTGTGGCCGAGGCGCTAGATACTAAATCGATACAAAACCCATCGATTTTCAAATATGTTTGCATTTTATCTAACATATACTAATATAAATGATGTATCATTAGAGTGAAATATATCATTAAGCCGAGGTCGCTTTCGGGCGAGGCTTTACATACTAAATCGGGACAAAACTCATCAATTTTCAAAGATGTTTGTATTTTGCCCGATATATTCTGCTATGACGTTGCAATTGGTTGCCACTTCACTACAAATCTGATTAATATTGATAGACTTTTGACATTATGTTTAACAGTGTTCTATTATACACGATATTTCCTTATAGTTTCATTCAATTACTTCTTGTGCAATAATATAAAATTGTCGGTATCACTGTATTAAGTCAAGGTCGCTTGCGGCCGAGGCGCTAGATACTAAAACGATACAAAATTCATCAATTTTCAAAGATGTTTGTATTTTGTCATATTTTTCCATGACGTTGCAGTTAGTGCCATTTCGGCATATAGTTGGTTAATATTGCAAGATTTTGACATTATGTTTAAGTGTTCTATTATATACTATGTTTCCTTGTAGTTTCATTCAATTACTTCTTATGCAAGAATACAAAATTGTTGGTATCGCCGTATTTAGCCGTGGTCGCTTGTGGCCGAAACGCTAGATACTAAATCGATACAAAACTGATGTTTGTATTTTATCTGACATGTTTTAATATTATTAGAGTGTTCTTGTAAGTTATAGGACACTAAATATATCATTAAGGCCCACTTTTACCACTTCTTGATAAATTTATCCGATAGATAAATTGGTTTTGTTATCCAATGCGAGCGTTTAATACCGCTATAACCATGGTAATTATCCCTTAGTTAGATCAAGAGGATAGTAAAAGTGAACCTAATTCGAGAACTGCTGCTAATCTTCCAGGCATGGAATGAACTAAGTTATAACTATCGGTTCTGACAAAATATTCTGTCATTCAGCGTTTAAATCATTTCTATTTTTAATATATAATTTTCTTTATGGGGTTGAAGCCTGGTGACTGAGATGGTGGGAATAACTCTACAATGCTTGGGATCGTTATTATGCTGAAATATATCCATAATGAACCCTAATTTAATTTAGTGACTGATTTTTTAAAATATTTTTAATATATGTGACGGACTCCATAATTGTCTCAATAAACATTAAAATTCTTACTTCACGCCCAGATACAAAGAAACCCCCACCATGTTTCAATGCGGTTTTCACTTTTTTTTTGTTCATTTTTTATTCTCCATACTTTTTTGTGTCATAACAGCCAAAAATGTTGAATTTACTTGCATCCTAAAATACTCAAACATACAGGGTGTGTCAAATGTCTGGAATATAGCCAATTACTTCGCCATTTGTGGTTTTAAAGAAAAATGGTTCAAGTACAAGTTTCTTTATTAATCATGGCGCATTTTTTGGCGATATTTGCTTGTTTGTATTATTTTTTGTTTCGTTGCTATGGCAACCAACATTGTTATTTTAAATGGGATGCATATGTTTTTTTTTGTTTACTTTGATAGAGGATAAATCCCTCTATGCGATGAACATATCAAATCATATGGTTTTATAAGAAAAAAACCGAGAAAAAATGCGTTATTATCAACAAATTACAATCAAAGTAGGCACCGAAATAACGCCGTTGACAGCTTGGATTCCTTGTTCGCTTAATTGCGCCATATTTAAATTTAAAATAACAATGTTGGTTGCCATAGCAACGAAACAAAAAACAATGTAAATTAATAAACATACAATTAATAAAAATTTTTATTTGAAACATTTTTCTTTAAAACCAGAAATGGTGAAGTAATTGGCTATATTCCAGATATTTGCCACACCCTGTATGCTCGAATAATTTAGCAAAATCTGTATTCTTTATTTCATTACAAAAGTAAAACTATTTCGGGATTTATGGTTTATTGATTTTGATGTCGCAACCGATTTGGCTATTTCAACTAAAGTAGTTGTCGGATAATCGGTGATCGATTTTAAAATTGACCACTTATCTCTAAGGCAGCTATTATAACTATAACCGTATGTAAACTTCGTTGAGTTATAAATATAATTATATTTTTAAATTATAAATAGCATACGTTTTATAAATATGAAAGCATTCATCATGATTGGTATTAATTAAACTAGAACTAACATTAGCACTATTATTACTAGAACTAACACCGAACCTAGAACTAGAAAGTTTCGCGTTTAGCCGTTCGTGGTCTGAAGACGCACGGCTAAACCCGAAAC